ACACTGCTATAAATATTGATGAGACTGAGTTTCCACAGTGTGCTGATTTTAGTTCTTTTGGATAAAGAACCATGCAGTGGGATAGCTGGGTCATATGGTTGTTCCATTTCTAGCTTTTTGAGAAATCTTCATACTGCTTTCCAGAGTGGCTTCCCTCCTCTGCAGTCCCACCCACAACATTTAAATGCATCTTTCCCCCTAATCTTTCCCCAAATTTACTATGATTTGTATTCTGAGGATTGCCATGTGTACTGCAATGAGATGAAATCTCAAAGTAGTTTTGATTTTCATTTCCCTGATGGCTAGCAAAATGTTGAATTTTTTTTCATATATTTGTTGGCCATTTTAGAAATGTCTGAGTCCTTTTGTCCATTTATTGTTTGGGTAATTTCTTTGGTATTAATTTTTTTGCATTCTTGTGTATTCTGAATACCAATCCCTTGTTGGAGGAGCAGCTGTTGCAGATCTTCTCCCATCCTGGAGGATCTCTCTTCGTGCTTTTTCCCTTTTGCTGTGTTCCATTTATTATTTCTTTATTTCATTTCTTGAATGTTAGGAATCTTGGTAAGGAAGCGAATGCTCATGGTAACATGTTGGTGTGTTGATCTTATGCTTTCTTCTAGCATTTTCAGAGATTCTGGTGGAATTCCTCAGCCTTTGATCCTCTTTGAGTTGACTTTGGTGCAGGAGAAGAGATAGAGATCTAGATCCATTTTCCACATATCGATGTCCAGGTTTCCAAGTGTCCTTTGTTAAAAAGGCTATCTTTTCTCCAACATATGTTTTTGGCACTCTTGTCATGGAATAGATGACTGAAGCTATGTGGGTTTGTTCCTGCATCTTCTATTCTACTTCATTGATCTTCATGTCTGTTTTTTATGTCAGAATAATGTGATTTTTGTTGCTTTGGCTTTGTAGTATAATTTGAGATCGGTTATTGTTTTGCCTTCAACCTCTTTCCTGTTGCTCAGGATTGCTTTGATTATACTGGGTCTTTATTCTTTTATAGGAAGAACTTTTTTTTCTGCTTCCATGAAGAATAACATTAGTATTTTGGTGGAATTTGCATTGAGTTGTAGATGGCTTTTGGTAACGTGACTATTTTGACAATATTAATTCTTTCTATCCATGAACAAGGGATGTCTTTTTATCTTCTGAGGTCATCCATTTGTTTCTTCAGTGTTCTATAGTTTTCATGAGGTGTTTTACCTCCTTACTTGGGTTTATTCCCAATTATTGAAGCTATTCTGAATGGAAGAATTTGATTTATTTCTCAGCAGATTCATTATTGGAGTACTACAAAGCTGTTAATTTTCATGTGTTGTTGTAATATTCAATTGGCTTCTTAGAATGAATTTGTGAGAATTCTGTCCCTTTCTATTTCATGGAATTATT